GATTAATTGCTAGGAGCAGAATTACAGCAATGAAATGTTCAATTAACGTGTCTCTGGAGCATGGCTTGTGAGAGCTCTCTGAACAGAAGACATCATACAGAAGTAAAAGTGAAGGGTGTAGCTTTGTTCATTTTTCAAATCGCTATTGTCACATGCCTCTAGTAAATTATGAATAGTCTGTGATTGATGGCTGCTGTTGGAAAACTTGCTCTAGTCTTTCTGAGACTTTCAAAATCTACCTGATCTAAGGCATATTATTCCAACACAGTTTGCTTCATTTTAAACTCTTTATTACTTTATAGGCAGCATCATTTATATGTTAAGCGTACTATTCAGATACTTGCCACCACTAAATCAATGATCTCTAAAGTGAGGTGCATGCAGAGTGGGGTGCAGGAAGAAAATATTAGAAATGCATTAGTACATGTACACTATTTATATTTTTAAAAAAAGATATACTGGGGGCACACTCTCAAAAAATCTTTTACTGATAGAAATTTTTTACTGAATAGAATCACAGAATGATTTTGGTTGGAAAACACCTTTAAGATCACCAAGTCCAACCGTTATCCTAACGCTACCAAGCCCAACACTACACCATGTCCCTAAGCACCACATCTATACGTCTTTTGAACACCTCCAGGGATGGTGACTCCACCACCTCCCTAGGCAGCCTGTGCCAATGTCTAACCACTCTTTCAGTAAAGAAATTTTTTCCTAATATCCAATCTAAATCTCCCCTGGCACAACTTGAGGCCATTTCCTCTTGTCTTGTCATTAGTTACTTGGGAGAAGAGACCAACACAGGCCTCACTACATCTTCCTTTTAGGTAGCTGTAAAGAGCAATAAGGTCTCTCAGCCTCCTCTTCTCCAGGCGAAACAAACCCAGTTCCCTCAGCCGCTCCTCACCAGAGCTGTTCTCCAGGCCCTTCACCAGCTTCGTTGCGCTTCTCTGGACATGCTCCAGCACCTCAATGTCCTTCTTGCAGTGAGAGGCCCAAAACTGCACACAGCATTTGAGGTGCAGCCTCACCAGTGCCGAGTACGGGGGCACAATCACCTCCCTACTCCTGCTGGCCACCCCATTGCTGATACAGGCCAGGATGCTGTTGGCCTTCTTGGCCACCTGGGCACACTGCTGGCTCATGTTCAGCCGGCTGTCGACCAGCACCCCCAGGTCCTTTTCCACCGGGCACCTTTTCATCCCCACGTCTGTAGCGCTGCATGGGGTTGTTGTGACCCAAGTGAAGGACCTGGCACTTGGCCTTGTTAAGCCTGATCAAAAAAGTTTGTAAACCCCTGTTCTAAATGCATCAGTATAAATTCTTCACTTCCAGTAGCTTGCCCTCTCTCCCTTTTTTCATATTTGATTTGCTAGATTCCAATCTGAAAAAAAACCCCAAGAATCAGTGGTGTCAGAGATTCCAATGTTATCTTCATCAATTTATGCCCTCATCCTCCTTATCAAGAAATACTGAAGTTCCTCAGAGGATTTGCATGAGGCTATTTTAAATGAAGTATTACAAAACGCCCATCAGAAGCATGAAGGAGCGAACAGAATTTTTACAGTAACAGTTTCGTGCCCAGTTCTTTGCCAAAATATCCCCTTCTGGTTTTATGCAGCTTATTACTAACTGGCATGGTTTTCACAATCCTATACAGTGGTCCTTGTTACAGGAACTTTGACTGAGAAATCCAGAACCTAGAAGGCAACAAAGAACTGCAGAGAACAGAATTATCTGTCCCTATGCATATGCTTCTGTTGGTCCTTGGTGTTCCGTTTTTTTCTATAATGCCACAAAATGTCAGTTAAGAACTCCTGTGGGATGCAGGAGCAGAACATGAGCAATGAGTCCATGACTCCCTATTTCTTTCAGTTGGTCACTTGGGAAATTGCAAAGTTGCTCAATTTTTAGTTTAGTGGTTTTGATCACACCTTTACAGTCAATTCATGAAAATTACATTTTTGGAAATAAATAAGTAAAAGATAGAGAAGTAGCTTCTAATATCCAAAAGTTGCTTTTTATTCCTTTTGTGTCATAAGGATGAGGGAACATTAGTCCAAATCTCTCCTCTCACTGCAGGCAACCTACTTTGTCATAAAATTTGTGCCTTCCCTTGAGTTTGTACAAAATGAACCATAATATTTTTGTTACGTTCAAAGCTACTGCAAAACACAGCATATTACCCATGAACACTGTAGTAACTTCATTATTTCCAAAGGTCACTAGACTTTTCAGGGTTCCCTTAAATGACTAGCTTGAAAAAAGTTCCCCATGGAATATTCTGGAATACTGTCTAAATGGACACTAATGACAGTATGTGAGCTTCCTGCTCTTGTGCCCCTAATAAAATAAATACGAAAACAATCTCATAAATGTCTTTTCATTATTTTTTAAACTGTCCATCTGTGGCTTTCTATGCTTTTCTTAGCTCCACGGTGCTACAGTAAGTGCACCACTAAGTATAGAACCTGGCACCTAATACTGAGAACACACAAAACACCTCAATGGGTCAAGCAAGCAAGTCCCCCAAGCTCAGCAGTGGCAAAAGTAGATGCTATTCAGTGAGAGAAACCAAGCCTGGCCACTTTCTGCATCCCTTTGCCTTGCGGTGAATCTCTTGCGCTCACAACCCTGCCACAAGGTGGCACTGGGACCAGGAGGAGCACAGAAGCATAGAGAAGGTCAGTGTCCAACTCGTGGATGGCAGTGCACCTGCACGACTAAGAACCTGGCTCTTTCAGCAGCTGTTTATGGACCAGCTATCCATTGAGTTGTTTTATCACTTCAAGTCTAATATAATTTGCCCACAGTATACTGCTTTGGCTGCTAGTTCTCTAAATTTTTTACTTGTCACATAAATACTTTCTTTTATCTGTTTTAAACCACATAGTACCATTAAGTGACCATTAGTTCCATTACTGAATCTCGTGTATTTTATTCTACATTTACCTTATTTAATGTCATGATTTTGATAATGCTTCTCAGTCATGCCCGAGAAGCATTCTGCTCCCCAATCTCAAGAGCCATCTGATCTCTCATAACAAGGAAGCTGCTTCCTCCCTGTTGTTTTAGTTGTCCTTCTCCATATCCTCACCAGCTTCGCTCTTGAAATGTTGTCCTTGAGATGCCCACCAGAACTACACTCTAATATTCAAGATGCAGGTCTACTATTGTTATATCCAGTAATAAAACAATGCCTCCTGCCTTGTCTGTAACACTGGTTACGTCCAATGTTTTCTTGATTTAAATTTTGTCTGCTGCTGTGCAATGAGAGATGATATTAAAGAACTGACAGTGACAATGCCAGTATCCTTCCTCAGTTTTAGAAATTAATTCCAAGTCCAGGATCGCTGAAGCACAGTTAAAGGAAAGCTTTTTTGTCAGATGCATTACCTCACATTTATCTACCTTGACACTTGTCTACTATCTTTTTGCCCACTAATTACATTTCATAAGAAGTTTCTGTAGTTCCCTGACATCTAGTATCTTCTCAGTAATTAAATGCTACGAAGTACCATGAACTGAGAAATCTCACTGTTTACTCTCATTCTGCAGGTCATGGGTCAATATATTGAATAAAACTTGACACAGCACCAGTCCTTCTGGCACTTCGCTTCTGACCTGTCCATCCTAACAAGCTACCACATCCTTGAAAATCCCCTGTCACAGGAGCATTATCAGTGCAAAAGGACACAGTGAAGTCAGCTAGAGGTTCGGTTTCATCTTGGATATCAGCTCCTTTTTCCTACTGGATGCTCTCCTTCCCCCAGATTTACATGCTTAGCAGCACAGGGGCTGTCACAGCGGACACGGGACAGTTGTACAACATCACTGCTGGCTCCATCTAAAAATCTCTTAATTTCAACTGGCTCAGCCATCTCAAGCCACCAAACACGTCTCATCACCAAGGGCTCTTCTCACTAACTACACACTTACAGATGTGATCCCAGGGCAGGTGATGTGACCTACAAAGGTTCTCTGCAATAAAAACTCAGCTCCATTCAGTTGCCAGACTTCTACCTGTATCCCATGGTTAATACTGCACCAGAAATTATAGACCTAGGGATTTCTCACCTATGGGGAGAAAGTGCTAGCATGTGGTAGCTTGACACTTGAACACAAGGACTGGCATGAATTTTACCAAAGAAATACAGGTTTCATGTTTCAGTTTCAAACTTGAGGTTAAATAAACCATTAAAAAGGCTTAAAAGCTTGGGCACAAAGGTTACTGAGGGCAGTTATGTTAAACAGCTAAAACAGTTTCTTCTTCAAAATCTTCAGGCTGCTGCACATTGCTGAACCCTTCAGTCCTAAGGAATCATACTGATTTACTGCTACATCACTGCAGCCTGACCAAGTCCAGAGGTCTTCTGACACTAAGCAGCTTTCAGGCCAGGACTTGCTATTGGCTCCCCCATCTTACAATGCTCTACGTTAACAATATCCATTTCGAGTCGGCTACCATGTCTTGCTGGAGATTTGCATGTCAAATGACTTAACAGATAAACAAGCAACCTCTCCCCTGCAAATGCCCTATACCCCAGTCTCTGAAAGATTTCCTTGCTTCCTGGAAATTCACTGATTTAGTACAACTATTTTTAAATTCAGAGATAATTAAGTCTCTCCTAAAGTACTCAATCTCCAAATTGGATATTTCATCAAAAAATGTACTTTTCTAACCTACCCTTCTCAATGTAAGCATATTCTTGGACCTTCCTTTCTATAACCTGTCTCTAAATATTGCCATTAGCAAACTCTCATATTCTCTTCATAGCAGTTATTTGACTGGCAACTCCATTTACCTAAAAATACTGTTTTGTTTTCCTCAGTAACTTCTCTTCTCATACAACTGTTGTGTGGAAATATAATGGACACATTTAAAAACCATGTCATGCTGTTTTTAACATGTTTTAACAGGCACGAGTTCCGCTAGGGAAATCGGAGGGGGTGTGTGTGTGTACAAATATTCGTATGTACAAGTCACAGTATTGTACCTTCTATCATCTCCATACCACTAGGAGGCTTACAGTGTCCGGCATGGCTCACAACCCAAACGGGATATTGCTGATTCAGTCCACAATACAACGCCTGTATAAAGGTCCTGTAATAACCTGCCAGTCCAGGGTTACCTGCCAAAAAACAAAACACACAAGCACAGTCATTATTAACTTTCCAGCAGCAAGCAATCTGCTTCAAAGCAAACTAAACAGCATTATACAGTAATCTGTTAATTTATTTTCTCCAGCACATTTCAATTTTTATTTTCCCAATTTCAGGGGCTATGCTATTGAACCGGTTTAATTCCACTGATCAATGAGAAGCATTTTACAGAACTACTCTGAAGCTGCGGAAACTAAAATTGAAGCCCAACACAAGAGAAAAATCTCCTTTTCCATCAGATGTCAACCAGCTTGCTTATCTATCCCATCAAGTTACAGATACATAAAAATTGCGCAAAGAAACCTCCAGATCTTATAACAATATCGCAGACTACAGCATATATCACTTGATCCAGACATCTGCCCTCCAGAATATCTCAGTGTTACCACTTCAAAATAGGTATATGGTATCCTGACAAAATAAAGTCTGTACAGACCCTAAAAGAGAGGATGATTTTATTTTAAACTCATTGGACTAAATTAATTTTTTCTGCTTGCAACATCATATTCTCTCTGTCCTCTTCCACGTTGCTTGAGAAGCTCTTTCCTTTTCAACCCTAATGCTCCAGAGCCACGAGACAATCTGTCCTCCCTCCTGCATCCCATCTGCTTTAGAGAGAATTTCTCAGGAGAGGCTGGTGTCGGAACGAATCCGGCTTGCCCTGAGAGAACAGACCACCTTGCTCTAAATCCAGCGTTTAACAGTGACAATGTCAACCGTCAGGTACTACTGCTGAAGTTTAAACTGAAATACTGTCCCAAAGATTAAAATATATATCTGGTAGGGATTTCAGGATTTCCAAACAAAACTCTTAACCTCTAGTCCTCCTTTTTTTTCCTCTCTCTTTCAGGTATCAGTAGTGACAAGTCAGAGAGTAAATCCATATGAAAATGAAGCAGATTTTGTTTCCTAATTCCCATAGCATGCATAAGAATTCCACGCACAACATAAACCATATAATTTATCTCTATTTATTTACTAATTTTCCAGAGTAGTTCCACTGATTTTTTACTATCATTTAGACACCAGGAAAGCCCACCATCATGGTTAGGATTGCTCAGCTACATGTCTTTCACTCCCATACTAGGCAATTCTTAGTTTGGATATCATGAACAGCAAAGGGCAGCGAGAGCAACATTGTGTAAAAAAAGGCATTCACTTTTAAGATGAAGACATTCCAAAATAACACAAATGTATCACTGAAAGGATAGGAGAGAAAAAGAAAACAAACACAACCCACTAAAGTTGTGTAAACCCCTTTAATCAGTCTACAATAGCGCAGGTTGAGCTGTGTAAGTATTGATAGTGACAAAGAAGAAGAATCAGACCTGTAATCAAATTCGTGCTTGTGGAAATGGTGTGTGGAGATAAAAACTAGGTTTATTCCACCTCTTCCCTCTCTATAGTGGGCATTTGCATTTTGTCTTATTTTACTTCAACTCTCTTGCTCTTCAGGTAACACCCGGTAAGTTCATTGCTCTCCCAACACAGAGCAGCAGTGCACCAGGCACCCAAAGCCACCTCCAGCAGAGACACCTGCACAGGAGCTGATGCCACAGCTCACACCAGTGACGATACATAGGCAGAGTAGGAAGCCTTCCACTCTAAGTAACATATGACACATGCTTCATCCTGCACTTACATGTAAAAAGTGTCTCTGATGGTTTTTTAAACCTTAATAAAATTAGTGATCTTCAAACATTGTTTTTACTGGATTTTTACAGATTTGGAAAAACCAACCCAAACCCACAGTATCAGTTATTACATATTTCTAAGCATCTCTTTGTAAGCTTGACATTAAAGGAGAATTAAAAGAAAAAAGTTGTTGTGTATCTAAACGCCAGAACGCATGATCAAGAAAAACAATTTAAAATTCACAGGGGTCACACATCCGTACAACTGTACCCTAGAGACAATAAAATCAAATGTAGACATCATCTGTCAAGCTCCTTGGATTGATGTCACACAGAGGCAATCTGCCTTTCAGCAAGGTTGAAGATGAAAGCAGTAGCAATCCAAAATAAAATGGGTCTTTTTTAGTACAAATGACCGTGATGTTTTGGCACTACACTTAGTCCTGGAATACAATGCAAATAGGTATTTTGAGGTCAAGGAATCACAAAATTAATCTCAAACCCAGCTTTTTTTCTTTACATTTTTCTCTCCTTTAACAATGCAAAAGAAGGAAAAGGAGAGAAAAGGCAACAGCCGTCTCAGACATTTCAGGCTCTTTCCCATCATCAGTCAGGTGAACCTACATCGTGGTTTAACCCCAGCTGGTAATTAAGCACCACACAGCTGCTCACTCACTTACCCCACCCCTTCCAGTGGGATGGAGGAGAGAATTGGGAAAAAAACACCCGAACTTGTGGGTTGTGATAAAGACAGTTTAATAGGACAGAAAAGGAAGGGAAACAATAATACAATAGAACACACAAAACAAGTGATACACAATACAACTGGTCATCACTTGCTGACCCATGCCCAGCCAATCCCCAAGCCACGGCACCCTCTGGCCAACTTCCCCCAGTTTATATACTGCCCATGACATCATACGGCATGGAATACCCCTTCGGTCAGTTGGGGTCAGCTGTCCCAGCTGTGTCCCCTCCCAGCTTCTTCTGCCCCCCAGCCCACTCGCTGGCAGGGCGGTGTGAGAAGCTGAAAAGTCCTTGACTTAGCTGTTGTTAAGCAGTGTTTACACTAAAACACCAGTGTGTTATCTCATTATTCCCATCCTAAATCCAAAACACAGCACTATACCAGCTACTAGGAAGAAAATTAACTTCATTCCAGCTGAAACCAGGACACCCTAACATGTAAATATTCTCAGGGTTCAGTCGTCAGGTGAAGAGCAGTGAAGCAAGAACTGCTTGTGAACAGTGAGGCTTTGCATCAAATACTATACAAAGCTCAAGGCACTCTGATACTTTTTGAGGGAAAGGGGATTTTTATCCTGTGATAAATGTAACGTGTATTTTAGGCAGGTAAAATAAAATCCATAAATGCAAAAGAAACCCCTTTCCCCACTCTATAAGCATCTGCCTACGGTAAAAGCCATTCTGAGGGATCAGCTGTTAGAACTGCTACTGACACTTTAAAATGCCTTGAAGGGGTATGAATGAGAACCGCTGGCACAAATGGAAAGGAAAATCACCAAAGATTTTAACAGCAAAGATTTCTATAGAGCAATCACCACATGTAAAGCAGCTATAAATTTATTCTTTATTGAACTTCAATTTCAGTGGAGTTATTCCAGATTTGCACTGACTTAAATAAATGCAGGTTAAAAGTTCTTGCTCTCAAAAGCTTGCATCTACAATATTTATAAGTGGAGAATGTTTATCTCCTAATACAGTTCAAACCTGCATCTCTGCAAAGTCAGTCATTTTATATGCTTTTACTTTAGTTGCTGTCAAAATACTTTAAGGGGAGCAAACAAAAGCCTGAACAGATAAAAAGATAAAAGATTTTATTTTTTTTTTTATATACAAGAGAGTTACGTTAACAGCTAACGGAAACAACTGGCGCTTAATATGCATAGTAGTCTGTGATCAACAATATTTTGGGCTCATCTACTGCACTTGAACTGTTGTTCGATCAAACTATTTTTATAGATAACGAACTACCAGGTTCATCACAAAGGTGCCCAGGCAATGCAGTGCTTATCTGTTCGTTTTAAGGATTTCCTAGTACATCAAAATAAAACTGCCTATGTCCTCTGACTCAGCAACTAAGTGACAAAAAATGGAAACCATAAGTAAACGCAGTGTTAACCTCCGTGATTTGAAGGTTATTCCAGTTGTTTGAATACCACATCAATCCTCAGACACCTCAGGGCAGCGGAATCATTCATTCATGCCAGCAAATCTCAAGTTGCAGTCATCTGAACCAAGAAGCACATCTTAAGCAGTTACTCTCAACTATGCTTAATTTCCAACAGCGTTTATGCTGTTTCAGAAATCTTTTAAACAAGAGCAGTAAATGGTGACCATAACAGAAAAAGACACAAAACTACAATGCACCACATATTAGCTTAATTTGCAAAAGATATCTAAGCATCTCATGGGAAGAGTATGTCAAATGGACAATTTGCACAGTGAATTAGAACACAGCAGGGCAACAACTTTATTTGTTGTACTTTGAAGTTTCCATAACCAAAGGACTCTAATACACAACATTTCATTCAGCTATTCTACATTAAGCTCAAAGTCCTTCCATTTTTCGTTTGAAGAAGGGAATCTACTTCTTCCTCTTCCCATCTGTTCCACCCACAGCTAAAGCAAAATGGTAGAGAATGACTGAATGTGCAGAGGTGTAACTTTGAGCTATATTAGGAGGTAAATATTCTCCACTTCTATATACTGCAGATACAGGCTTTCAAGAGCTGGAACTACTACTCTTTAATCATCCACACAGTTAAAACCAGGAAAGTTACTTATAAACATGCATTTGCATGCCTTTCACTTTCAAACGCTTTTTTGTTAATGCTTTTTCCAACCACCAAGATTTTAAATACCAACTACTTCTTATGAGGACAGGTAGCAGCAGAGAGAGAACAATTTGGACAAACTATATATCTGCCCGAGGATATCACCGCTAAAGAATAACTTTTATCCTAATTTCATGTGATTTCCTATACAATGTGTCATAGAGTCAAACTTGGCCTGTCCTAAAATGAAATACTGAACAGTATTTGAGATGCTGCATTTCCAAAAAAGGAGTTATTCAGACTCAGGAAATTTAAATTTAATACACTATGCCATCAGGGCAATGCAATCAGCTTAATTCTCAATGTAAAACAAGAAAAATATAATGCTCATTTTAAAAGTCACAGGCCACAGCTTCTCCTCACAAGCAGTATCAGCTTTGGTGGCTTACAAATTGTCAAGCATTCTGAATTCTTCTGCAACAGAAAATATTAACGTAAAATGTAAACTATAATTAAGAGAACACTAGCATTAGACAA